CCAAATTCTGGATCTGAAGAGGCTGAGGAATGAGAGACAAGGGAGGAAGGAGTGGTGGAGCTGAGTCTCCGACTTCTGGAAAGGGGTACAGCTGACTGATGCAGAGTTGCCAAGGATTCTCAAGCATTTGACTTGTTAAAAAAGCATGAGAGAAACCGAAGACTGGATTTAATGGCTTCCGTGGGAAAGGCTGCCAGGTGACACTCAAAAATTTAAGCAGAGAGAAAGGCCATGGGAAGCAAACAGGAAGTCTCTCGCATCTGCTCCTTCTTGGGTCCCTAGTGACAGACCCAACACGGAGCCAGGTGGCAGAGCCGAATGGAGTTTTCAGAGATCTGGCTGGCCTTACTTACTTTTCTCATTGCTGAGACAAAATACCCACCACCCAAAGTTAAAGAAGGAAAAGTTTATTTGGCTCACAGTTTGCGGAGGTTTCAGTCCACAGTTGGCTGACTCAAAGGCAGGGTGGCACAGGGGCATCGAAGAGGAGAAACAATTCATGGTGTGAAAGGTGGAAGGCAGGAGGCAGCAAAAGCAGCAAGCAGTAAATGACAGCAGCAGCCCTCTTTCTGTCCCTTCTATTCTGGTAGTACTCACACCCAGGGAGGGTAGCCTTCACCCTAGCACCACACCATGAGTCAATCCCAGCACTGCATCCTTGAACATACACCCTAGATCCAGCCACTTCCGAAAAGCTCCCCCTATGACTGCATGAGGCTTTGGGGGACATCTGGACATAAGCGATAACATGGCTGTAGTATCACAATGCGGAGTTTAAAGGCATGGGCTTGGGGCCAAAAGACCATGACTTACAAGCAATACAGAAATGCCCACAGTGGGTTAGAAGGTTGACTGAACAGTCAGATCAGGATAAAACTTCTGCTCTTTTGTCTATTGGTTATGTAACTTCAGTGATTTTCATTTTCTGTGTCTATTTCCACCTCTATAAAATGGAGCTAATACGGGTTTTGTTGGGTTGTTTGGAGAGAGAAAAGATATAAAACACATAGTTTGCCTACTGCTCAGTCAATGAGTTACAACAACTGTCATGAGGAAAACTGAAGGTAGCAGATACATGGAAGGACAGTGGTAGCACGGGATTAGTTTCATAGTTCTATGAACTACGCAAACAGCAATGAGACTACAGATAACTACTTAGATAGATGTAAGAGGCTCTTGAAAAAGAGACTTAAAAACCTCAGTGACGGTGTACTCTGTTGGTTCCTGTGGGAGATGAAAGAAAGACAAATCTGTGGTGGAAACACTATTCCAATGGAAATTCCCTTATCAGTGTAATTTTGTGACTCCATTAAAACTTTCAAGTAGCTCTATGCCAGCCTGAAGCAATAACTCCAGTCATCAAAGAAATGCATATTTAACCAATTTGAGGCACTGTTTTAAATAGACTGAGCCAGCACTGATTCACTGGGAACTGACTTTTGATAGACGTAGTGAAGGTGGTGGTGATTCTGGTGAACATGGGCTGGGCTGGTTGGTGTGGTAAATTTATAGACCTCTTTTTTTTAAAAAAAAATTATATGTGCAGCAACTTCATGCTTGGGTATTTAGCCCAGGAAATTAAGACTTGTGTTCACACAAAAATCTATTCCCAGTGATCATAGTAGCTTTAGTGGTAAAGGCCAGAATTGGAAACAACCAGAACATCCCTAATTGGTGAATGGCTAAGCAAACTACAGCAATAGCTGGATTGTGCTTCAGAAGGAAAGAGGACAAGCTACTGATGAGCGACGATGGTGGGTTTCAAGGACATTGCAACGCTTCAGGGGAAACCTGAAGGAACTCTTCAGCTTTGTTTGCTTTTCGTTACCTGCTTTCAGTTGTCTTTAAAAGTCAGGAATTCGGAAGGTCAGCTTCTAGGCCATCGATCCTGGTGCTCCCACCAGCTGTGCTGTAGCTGGCACCTCTGGGTGGGTTATGCTAGTGGTGCCTGGGTGACTGCCAGGGCTGGAGGCCACATTTGGTGAAACCCCTGGCTTCACCCAGGCCTGTAGCCAGTGTCTGATGGTGACCTTTTGACATCAGGCCAAAAGCTTCACCCCAATCTTGCTAACACTGCCCACTACAGGGCAGGTGTCTTGTAATGAGCCGTGACCTTTGATTACGCAGGTGCAGACCAAAGATAAGGTCACATCAGCCCCTGCAGACCCTCTGTTTATCCTTAAGAAATCTTCAGCCCTACCCTTGGGGACATGGATTTGGGACTTGGTGTTGCACCTCCATGTGTGGCCTCCTTACAAATAAATCTTCCTCTTTTGCAAATAATATAAGCAAAACCAAACTAAACAGACAGAAAAAGACCCAATATTAAATAATTACCCAAAGTGGTTTAAATGCTTATTGCTTCTGACTTGGTAATTAAACATGGAACTCACAGGAAGAAGTCAGCAATGCGATATTTCTATGACTGACGTGGTAATCTTAGTGGCATCTACTACCAGTCCCACAAAGCATCCTTCTGTACTCCAGACATTCTGGCTTGGCCAAAAATGCCATGTTTCATGTATCCTCATTCTTAGACAATGTTATGGCTGTGTCTAGACGTCCCCCAAAGTCCATAACTCAGAAGGTGGGGCTGACTCTGCAATGCATGATGCTGGGGTTAAGGGCAGGTGATTGCTAAACCTCCCGAGTGATCAGTTTGGCATCACCCTAATCCCTGCAGTCTGGACAGGATGAGAGGGGCAGAAAGACGCTGTTAAGGTCTCTTGTTGCTTTTGCTGCCATGCACTGCTGCCCTCTGCCATGTGCCACCCCGCCTTGGAGCAGCCGATCATGGACTGGACTTCCACAAACTGTGAGCTACATAACCTTTCCCCTTTAACTCTGGGTGTTGGGTATTTTGTCTCCGCAAGGAGAGAAAGCACAGCCAGGAGTAGCATTGGTGACGACCAAATCTGACTCTTTTGTGCATGTATGTTGGTATCTTTCAGGTCCAGTCTGAAAGAATTTGCTGTTGTTTGTTTGCTTACTTTGCTTTTGTTCCCACTGCTGGAGATTAAACTCAGAGCCTTCACACTGAGCTACATCCTCAGCATTTTTTTAAAAGTGTTATTTTTAATTTTGAGACAGAGTCTCATTAAATTCCTGAGTTCCTCATCCTGGGTTGGAACTTGAGATCCCCCTGCCTCAACCTCACAGAGTGCTAGGATTATGAGTATGCGCCACCATGCCTGGTTTGTTCTGTTTTGTTGGCTGGTGCTGAACATTTATGTAAGTAAGCATAATCCCTTTGTAGGTCTATTCATCAAAGTTACCAGAATAGGATTTTGAAAAAAATTAAAAACTGAGCATGGTGGCATACACTTATAATCCCAGCACCTGAGAGGATGAGGATTACCTTGAGTTCAAAGTCAGCCTGGACCACATAGCGAGACCCTGCCTCAAAAAAAAAGTTTGAGAGTTTGCTTAATTATGCTAGAATGTATGGTCCACAGAGTTGTAAAAATGGCCTTCAGAACTCTCATCTGGTTATTCAGGCAGCACTCCTCTCAGCAATCAGAGAAGGGTTTCGTAGATGTTTCTCCAGTCCATGTCCTGGAGTTGCCCAGGTGGCCTGGCCACACAGTCTCTGGCCAGCTGCAGAGGAGGAGGTCGGGCAGAGTGAGAGGGGAGTCAGGGCCGACAGAGTGAGGCTGGATGCAGACTCCCCACGGCCTCCAGAAAAGAGCCCACTGCACACACTCCAGGGTGGCCCTGTCTGACCACAGGAGAACACAGACTCCGGCCCACAGAACCGTGAGCTAACAAGTGAACACTGCTTTACGCCTAGAAGTTTGTTATATTTATCACATGGTAAGAGAAAGGAGCACGGAGGGCACAGCTGAGCATCGATACAGCTGGATCAAAATCCACCTTTGCGAACGAACGGGTAATCTGGGAACAGTGTGCAAATGAGCCGGACAGACACCACCCAGGAAGGCACAAATGAGGGTGTGAGAAACGTTCCATGCCTTTAGTCACTGAGGGAATGCAGATCAAAACTACATCAAGATTCCATCTATCATCGAGAAGACAAATGCTGGTCAGAGTGCAAGGGAAAAGGAGCCCTCGTACACAGCTGGTGGAGTTTAAGTCAGTACAGCCATCATGGAAAACAATGTTGAGGGACCTCGAAAGACTAAAACCAAACCTAGTACACGATCCTACTATGGGGTCCAGAAAAATGCAAATACACAGCATTCAGTGGAAAGGGGGTGTTCGGGAAGCAGTGGGGCGTGGGGAGAGGTGAGGCAGGGTCACAGGGAGCGTGGAGGTGACCAAGGTAAGCCTGGTTGTGTAACAACGTCATAATAGCACCTACTGTCATACAATTTACATGCACGAATTATAAGTTTTAAATCTGATTTTATGTGGCTGCGAAGGTAAAGCTCTCATCTCAGTCTCCTTTGACACATTTGCATAAAAGGAGAACTTTTTTATGTGGCCAGTGGTGTTTTTTAACGAAAACTGCAAATCTGAAACATCTAAGTCCTGTTTCTAAAAAACATCTGTGGCAAAGATTTAAGCTATTAGGCTAAACGCAAAACACCTGCGTCAGAGGTGGCACAGGGGGCATGTGTCTGTAGTCCCAGCACTCAGGAGGCTGGAGCAGGAGGGTCACAAGTTGGAGCTCAGCCTGCACAGCTTGGCAACTCAGTGAGACCTTCTCTCAAAACGAAAAAGGCCAGTGAAGGGTTTGGGTTCAATCCCCAGTAGTCACACACACACACACACACACACACACACACACACACACACACACACACACTAAGAATCCATAAGCCACGTCCAACATCACTGTAAAATATTTAGTGTCATTTTTATCTCATGTTATAAGGATAATCGTAACTGGCACTAAAAACCCCTGAAGGTTAAAGAACTTGCTAATGATGTTTCAGAAATGAGGGCTGCTGGCAGGCAGAGATGTGCTTCCCACCCTTAATAAATGAAGATGGATGTGATCTGCTATCGTTTAATAGGCCTGGAGTAAACTCCCTCTCGGCATCTGGCAGGCTTCTTCCTTGTTATTCATTAAATTTCTCCTCTGATTCATTCATCTCCAAAACCCTCAGAGGCACGGAAGCTCACCCTGAAGCCAACCAGAAGTCGAAGTTCTGAGCCAGAAGGTCTCGCTGGTCTGGGAACAGTCACTGTTCAGAAGAGAGGTGGCCCAGAGGGGGCCTGGCCCACGACACAGAGCAACCGTGTGGGTGGGGCTAGGACTTCATTTCCTAGAAGCTCAGCAGAAGCGCAAGTAAGTCTGCCTGTCGGGCTTTTGTCAGACGTGACCTGCTGACTGTATGGGGTATTTCTGACAAAATTAGGAAAAGCAGTTCTTGGTAAATTCCGGGTCCCTCAACAAAAATCACCCCAAGTGCTGCTTGCCTACTGTCAACTGCAGAATGAACTGACTGCTAATGCAGGCCGTCCCTGAGGCTCAGTGACAGCACTAAAATTGCAACCAGCACGTTGACTGCTCCATGAAAATGAAGTTAGCTTTTCCACAGAACAGACCAAGACACAGAAAGCTTCCGCCATGGGTTCAGGCCCTGAAATTATTTTCTTTCCCCCTTGGGATCCTGACTGTTTCATAACACTGTACATACAAGAACCATCAGGCGGAACTGTGCTTCTCAGTGTTACTAGTGGTTTGGCAGGCACCCCATGGTATCCACACTGTGCAGACCCATGGTGTGGCTGGGAACAGACAAGCCACCTGGAACCGGTGCCCACTGGATTCTCCCCTCTGCCCTGGCGTCTGGGCTGTGGCTGGGGCAGGAGCACCCCAGGGAGGCAGGGTGAGCTCTGCAGTCCTTGAGGCAGTTGCTACCAGGCTAGTCACAGGCGGGTCGGCCCTGCTCTCCTGGGTAAGGGACACAAGACAGGGAGTGGCCTCTGCTTTACCCAGAAGGGAAACGTGGAACAGACAACCTGCAGGGCCTTGTCCTGTTTTTGAGACAGCAGTGCTGCCCACTATGAAAAGTCAGGAACTTTCCTGTCCAGGGAGGGATGGGTGGATGAAGGAGACCTCAGAGTTGGTGGAAGATCCCTCCACAATAGGGGCAGAGGGGAAGGAGGGAGGGGAAAATGAAAATGTTAGCTCTCTAGACAGAACCGAAATCAGCTTTATTTCAGTATTTCAGAAAGCTCTGAGCCCAGGATTTTCAGTAAATTGATAGAACAAATAGATAACTGTTCCTCACCTTGGCCAGGTGTTTAGGTTGTTTCACCAGCAGAACCTAAAGCAGGTAGGAAGCTTGGTATTTGGAGGAAGAGTCCACTATTTATAGGCCATGTGGAAAATATAGGAAAATACTCCCATTTTAGAGTCTGTTCCTTCACCCATAAACAGAGCCAAGTAGCCTGCTTGAAAGGGCTGCTGGGAGATGGTGAGTGTGCCACCTTGAAAAATGCCATCTCTGACAGCTCCTGAAGCTTTTGTGGGTGTGGATACTGATAGGATAGAAGGAGTAGAACATACATACTGAGGCTAACTGGAAAGGGAAAACATCCTGGCCAAAGAGCAAGGCCCGTGCTCCCTGTGTCCAGATTTGAAAATAAACACTCTCAGCGGGAGCCGTAGATCTCTTCGTCTCTTTGTGCAGTGTGTGTAACGCAGCAGCTGCTACTGCTCTAATCACCAAATGCCAAATCCAAAACATTTCATTTAATATGTACGAGGCACTTTGGTGAATCAGCTATGTATTATTTTGTTGCTACCAGATATAAAACATGTATGAAGACTTGGAAAACACTTGTTGATGAGTTGAATAAATGACCCTTGAAATAACTTCATGAAGTTAAAATGGGAGCATGATCTTCCCTCTTCTGTAAATGCGGGAGCGAATGAACTACTCAGTCATGGCAGTGTCCAGGTGCCATGACCAGTGTTAGAAGTGGGACGGAAACCAGGCCCCATGGCTTCAGAACAGTGCATCGCTGTATTACACTGCTGTGCGTGAATGAGCACGCACACATCAGCCTGTTCGTGACAAAAACCCCTGACCTACACCTGTCTCTCCGTGAACCTGCACCATCAGGAAGGGCTCTCTGCATGCCATTAGCATTTGCTGGTTTATTTGTTGTTGTCATCTGTTTGTTTGTTTGTTTGCCATTACTGGGTACTGAGCTACATCCCCAGTCCCTTTTTATTTTGTATTTTTTTTTTTTTTGAGACAGGATCTCATTAAGTCACTAAGCCCAGGCTAGGCTTGAACTTGTGATCCTCCTGCCTCAGTCTCCCAGAGTGCTGGGCTTGCAAGTGAGCTCCACCCCTGGGGCTGTTTTCTGCTTTTCTGTTGTTATTGTTCTTGTTGTTTTGCTTCTACTGAGTTTAGCCAGACAGGAAAACAGACAAGAGTTCCAGGGGTATATATAAATACGACCGCTAATATCATCCCTACGGCCCATCTGGGTAAGTGTTTACTGCAGCAGTTCTACGGAATGTACAAAGATGAGTCCATCCATTTATATTGAGTCTTCAAGGGTCCCGGGTCTGGTGGGAGGTGCGAAACAAGTGTGTAGCTGCATACAATTTGAGGTGGAAAAGCATGAGTTCCACACAGAAGATGCAGGGAAGAGTTCTGAGAAGGGAGAGGCTGCACCTACCCGGGAAGGTGGGCACAGGCGTGGTAAACCAGATGCTGGCGTGGCAGGTGGGTAGGACCGGGATGTGAATTCACACAGGCTGTGATGCGGAGAAGGAGTAAGAAGGGAAGGTTTACCCAGGGCAGGCTGCGACAACCCGCAGAGTTCATCCCATTCGACAGCCAGGGAGCCAGACTGGAGGAACCGGCTGGTGGTGACACCCTAGACCCTCTGGGACTCGGGGTCCTCATCTTTAAAGGGGCTGAGGCTGAGGACCCGAACAGGGCTTCTGGGGATGGGCCTGGACTCAGGAAGTTAGCATGGGGACTGAGGAAGGGTGGCAAAGGGTGTCCTCCAAGAGGGCACCTGCAGGCCTGGTTATGGGGTGGACCGAGACCCAAAACAGACCCTGAAGCCAGAGAAGGAGCATGCGGTGGTGGTGCTGGAGGGACAGGAGACCCGGCCCAGGTCCAGAACTCAGTGCCTTCGAGACTCGGTCCTGCCTTTCTCTCACCCGATTTGCATTCTCTCCCTTTTGTTCTTTTTCTCTCTTTTCCTTTCTGGTCTTTTTCATCCTTTCCTTCTTTTTCTTTTCCCAAGAAAACTGAGTTAAAATATGCAGAAGCTTTCTTAAACTGAAAAGCTATAAAAAGATCCAGGACTATTATTAATATTCTGCCTCCTGGGGGACATCTGACAATGATGAAAGATGTTTGTGGCTGTCCCCAAGGGAAGGGGTGAGGCTGGCATCGAGTGGACACACACGACAGCCCCTCAGGACAGAGACTTGTCCCACCCAAGCGTCAAGAGCACCGAGCTCAGAGCCAGACTGCACGAAGGCCTGGAAACATCCAGGGATCTAAATTTTTACAGGGAGTTGTTTTTCAGATGCAAATATAATGACATCCATGTGCACTCACTGAGCCACAGACATTTCTGAGTACTTCACCTACACCTTTTTAGGTAGGCACGAAGAGAAGGTGACCAAGTCAGGAATCAAACCCAGAGATCACCCGGCCACAGCCTGCAACCCTTCTCTGGGTTCAGCAGCAAAGATGAGGCCCCCGAGGGTCCCCAGGCTGGCCTATTTGTTTTGTGGTTTTTCTGAAGAGGCCTGAGTCATGGCATGTCATTTACGCTTTCTCATTAAGGCTCACTTGTCCTGAGCTCCTCCATCTCACAGTGACGGCTAGGATATTCTTCTGTGACCACAGAACAGAGACGATTCCCTCTACAAAGCGAATTGGGGGTTACAGAATTCAATTTCACCCCAAGAGCAAGACAGTTAGCTGTGCCTCAGTTTCCTCATCTGTAGAATGGAAATAGTAACTATACTGCAGGACTTTTAAATGAGGGCTAGTGAGGAGTTACGGCGCTCTTCAACACACTGCCTGCACATGTGCTAGTCTGTGAGGACTTGTGTCCGGTCTGGGAGAAAGCAGGTGTCGTGACTGTGTCTACGTGTCCCCCCAAAGCCTCACGCGGTCTTCCTCAGAGGTGGCTGAGTCTGGAGCGTGTGATGCTGGGGTTAAGGGCCTGTGATTACCAAACCACTCCCTGTGCGTGATTGGTTGTTTTGGCGCTGCCCTAATCCCAGTCGGCATGGGATAAATGGGGCGGAAAGACGCTGCGAAGGCCCCTTGTTGCTTTTGCTGTCTTGTGCTGCCATGAACTGTTGCCCCTCTGCTGCCCTGCTGTAGGGCCAGCCGATTATGGACTGAAACCTCTACTAACTGAGCCAAATAAGCCTTCCCCCCTTTAACTTTGGGTGTCGAGTGTTTGTCTCTTCGATAACAGAAAAGCAACTCGGACAGAAGGATACCAATTAAGAGTGTGCATTCAAATTTACAGCAACCTGCCAGAGTAATTTTACATCTTAAATCTAGTAATAGTAATTAAGTTCAGTTTTCTGTTAAGTTTTCACTTTTCTAGTAACTGATCTTTGTTGAATTTTACAAAAGCATTTGTTTATGACTGATTGGAAATTTTAAAAGAATCCTGGTTCATCGTTGCAGAGAACTCGAGAAGCGCTGAGCTAACTGAGGTACACAGAGCACCTGAGACAGCACCTGCTTTGAGAGTGCTTTGTAAACGTCAGCCAACAACGGTGACGGCCTGGATCTAACGGGTTTTCTGTCACAAAGATGAGCGTTGTGAGATTCACCTTCTGTGTCATCTTCAGTTCACCTTCAATCCTATGAAATCGCTTTCCTCCAGGGGAGCCATCCAGGGAAGCGCCACTCCACTCCAGACACTCAATATTTTACCAGCCCGTGTCTGCCACTGTTCTCAGGGTGGGGAACCGGCACAGCTCGCAGCTTCGCCGCCTGTCACGCTGCTCTGCAGGGTGGGCCGTTCCCCACCCCAGCTGCTCAGGTAGCCTCCCTGGCCCTGGTGGGGACCCTGCTGACCCACGACCTCAGTGCTCCTCCCGGAGAGGGCCAGCACCCCTTCCGAAGAAACCACCGCCACACTGCGGCCCAGGAATCTGGATCAGCCCGTTTATTCCTTGTGTCCTTCAGCGAGGCTCAGGATGAACAAGACAAACTCCTGGGTAAAGGGGGACCCACGTGGATGGTACCACCTTTCTTAGGAGGTAGATACCGGGGCGGCCAAGGAAGGAGGACAGGCAGGCCGGCCCAGGCAGCAGCCTTGTATCTCCCTGACTGCCAGGTTCCCTGCCTCCCTCTGACCTACTCCAGGAAACCTACTTTCTCTTTCCTCTCTCGGACCACGAACATCAGACTGGGATACTCTTTCCTGAAATCCCACTAAGGCTCTTGAGACTTGCACGCTGCTCATTTTGGTGACAGAAAGCTCAGTGACACATCAGATTCAGCATGCAGGGGGCTGAGGCATCTTCCTAGAGATCAGGCCCCAGCCAGCACTGACCAGAACCGCTGTAGGACAGCGCGGTCACTGGGTCCTCTTCTAAGTCACTTCACCACTTCATCAATGTGTAATAAATCTCCTTGCCCCAGAGGAACGCAGCTCGATTTCTTTTGCAAAAATCTCATTAAAGCCTGTTTCAGCCTGTAATAATTTGTTAATAGATGGCCGTGCTATTTGGCTGCAATTGGGTTTTCTTTCATTTCTGCTCTGTGCTCGTAATTGTCGCCTGTCTCTGAGGCACTCTGGCTGTCACTGAAGTGTGACAGGCACTGCAGCCACTGCTAACGCTGGGGGGGCGGCTCAGTCTCCTCGCCTCCCTTTCACCTTCTGAAGCTGCTTCCTGTTCCGCAGGGAAGTGTGGCCGCCTTCCCTGCTGTGCTCCCTGCCTGGTGGTTTGCATTCAGGGCGTCTTGTTGTCTCTTTCTAGCTGCATCTGCACAAAACCACCAAAAGCAAACAAACAAACAAGGCTTCCAAGCACCCTTCCAATGGCAGCGGAGGCCCGTGACAGCTGTCTGAAGAAATCACATGAAACCACAGAGGTGGAAGTGGAGTACAAGCCGAGCCTGTAGAAATGGGATCAGCAAGCGAGGTGAGCACTCTTGAGTTCCTCCTGGATCATGGAAGACTCCAGTGGCCCTAAGCCCCCAAAAGAGGCAGGAAGTCCTTTCCCCAGCACCGAGTCCACTGGGCCACCAATGCCCTTTATAAAGCAGGGAGGGCTGGGGAGGAATAGGTTTATGTCTTCATTCGCTGGCTCCACCTGTCAATCGGTGCCTGCCACCAATCAGAATGCAAGCATGGCTGCCGAATTACAGGGTCCTGCTGCTCCAGTTATGGGAGCAACTTCCTTCTAATGGTTTGACAGGGAAAATGAGTTCTATAAATACTAATTAGTTCTAATGCCAATACTAATGACAACATCTGTAGTTAACGTGTACTAAGCCCTGAACATGTCCTAGGCATTAAGACCTAAGATCTTGTTTTAACCCCTTTACTTCTCATTAACAACTTTAGGGGACAGGCGTCTGTATTCCCATTTTTAAATGAGGAAACTAAAGGTGAACTGATGAGCTAGCAGTGGAAGCTATACGTGCTGACTCCAGAGTTCGCCTCCTCCTCTAGTTGAACTTTTCATATTATCTGTGCAATTGAATTAGAAACAGGAGTGACTTACTTATTCCATCCTGCCAGACCACCCTGACGCTCCTGGCTGGGAAGGCAGACCTACCCGCTGGAGAGGGAAGTGTGTGAGAAACGGGACTCGCTAACATCCGGGCCCACACAAGGGAGGCCCCAGGAACAGGAAAAGCAAAGGGTAAGTGGGAGGAGGCAGCTAGGTGGTTTCCAAGAAGAAAGGCTGGAGAGGTAAGAGAGACTCTTTGTAGGCTTCCCCAGAGGCCACATTGAGAAGTTCAGCTGCATGCTGAAAGCAGAGGTTCCAGTCAGGTTCTGGTGTGGAGGACAACAGTCATATCTGCCTCTTGCACTGCTTCTGTTTTCTCTTGCATAGAATACCTGAGACTGGGTCATTTGTAAAAGAAGTTGTGTTGGTCAGCTTCCTGTGATATCACAAAATGTCAGAGAATCAAACTTAGAAAAAGAGGAAAGGCTTAGTCCCACTCACAGTTTCAGTCCATGATCATCCGTCCCCTTGCCTTCCTGTCGTGGCACATCATGGTCGGAGCCAGTGTTTGCCGTCCTGGGAGACAGAAAGCAAGGCACTAGGAGGAGGCAGGGCTGATGTCCCCTGTCCTCTCTGAGGCCACGCCCCAGTGCCCCAGTTCCTCCCACTGGGCCCCACCCCTTAAAGGTCCACCACCTGCCAAGACTGCACGGGGTTCACCTTACACAGGGTTTTCTACATCTGTGACCTCCCAAATGACAAATACTGGTACTTCAGTTTGTTGAATTTGTCCTTGAGATAAATGGCAAAATTGGTTTCAGGTCCAGGTTTTCCCCCTTTTCCAGAATAGCCACGTGTCCCCTCTCCGCCTTGTGGGTGTCCTCAGAGCCTTCCTCTTGTCTTCTTCCTCCCACCCCATCATTCACAGACAGCATCAAGCTCTGCCGCTCATAGAGCTGACAGGGCCCCTGGGCGGGACCTCAGAGCTGAGCTGCTGAACGGTTCTCAGGGAGAACTAGGGGAGCCTGCCCTGGTCCCTGAATCAATAGGCAGCTGCTTCTCCAGCGACTTAGAAACTGTTCTCCTTCCCAGGGTAACTCTCAGGCAATGACAGTGGTCCCAGGTTGCTGCTTTAAAAAACAGCTGACAGGGCTGGGGATTTAGTTAAGTGGTTTTGCTGCCTGCCTCACAAGTGCAAGGACCGGAGTTTGATCCCCGGTACCAAAAACTAAATAAATAAATAAAAATAAAAACCAACTGATATTAGGTTGAAAGCTTGCACGGGCCCTCTGCAGACCACAGCTCCCCTCTTCCCTAAGGTCAGGCTCCACACAGGGACCCAAGAAAGGCAGCCACGGAGGACCCTGCTCCCTCCCACGCAAACACCAGGGTGGAGCCACTGGGCTCTAGGAATACAAACCCTTAGTTTGAGGTTGCTTGGGTGGAAATTTTTAACAAGCAGCTCCCTCAGCTCCCAAGCCACACAAAATGCGACTTTCGAAATATGTGTGTTGCCTGTGGCACTGCTTGGACAGGAGGCATCCTGCCCCCAGTGCGATTGGAGTCACCAGCCCGCTGGCTACGCTGCCAGGGTGCCCACCGCCTCTGCCCAGCGACAGAGCCCTGCCCAGTCCAGGAGACAGCGCTGCCACCCGCGCTGTCCCGGACATGCGGGGGCTCCCTGGAGATGCGGGGCCGCCCGCCCGGAGCAGAAGGCCCCTGAGCTTGCCCTGTCCCTGTCCCTGTCCGCCCTGTAACAGGGGCCTTCTGCAGGCAGAGTCCCCACAGCCTTCGGCCCTGCAGGACACAGGATGGCTACCTCACAGGGCAGCTGCCTAACTAAGCGCAAGAGAAAGGGGCTTTGAATTTTCATAAGAGAATCTTTACTAACCCTGAGTAATCCCTAGACTTTTCATGCTTTCATATGACTTGGGGAAAAAAGGAGGCCATAGAGGAAAGGTTTCCTGTGGGAGGTAAGCTGTGGGTTCCTGAGAACAGCGCGTTTCGGTGCTCTGCAATCCTGCCCAGGACTCGCTAAAGCAAGAATGGGGAAAGACAGAGGGCACCGGAGGCAGAGGCAAGCACAGGACAGCAGGTGAAGCTCCTGGAGCGGGAAGACTGGCAACAGGGAGGAAAGGAAGCGTGCAGAACGGGAGACGCAAAATCCACAGGAGAGGGAGGAAGGGACTCAACCTAGAGTAGGGTTTGGGGTGCTTTGGCAGCGGAAAGGTCCTCAGAGAGACTGCAGCCAGGAGGAGTTTATTTCCACCAGAGGGGAAGGAGGGAGAGAGGGGGAGAGAGAGAGAGAGAGAGAGGGAGAGACAGAGGAAGGCAGCAAAAAAGAAATACAGAACAAAAGCAAGGAGGAAAGGGTGAAAGAAGAAAAGAAAGAAAGCAAAAGGGAGAGAAAATAGAGATAGAGGGGGAAAGAAGGAAAGAGCAAAGAAAGAGGAGGGAGGTGACAGGGAGAAAAGGAGAGAGAAGGAGGGAGCGCCCTGCCACTGCTGCAGAACCCGGCAGGAGGAAGGAGGGCTGGGGATGCGGAGCACCAGGAAAAGCACCGACTGAGCCAAGTCCACCTTCCAGGGGCAGCAGCGACCGACCAGGGCCTGCCCCAGCAGGGACCAGCGCTGCTGGGGTTATCAGAACGGATCTCTGCAGATCCGATATGATTAGGGTCTGCATTCCTCCACGGAAGGCCGCAGTCGGATTTTCCACTGAAGCCAAACTAAAGTGGAGGGGGACCAGAAGCCAGGGAGTCAGGACCAATTTTGAGGTCTCAGAAAATAAGGAGACAAAACTTTTTTTAGGCTGCTAAAGAAGAGAAGTGGCCAGGTATTGTGGCACATATCTGTAAGCCCAGTACTTGGGGAGGCTGATGCAGGAGGATTGCCATGAGTTGGAGGTCAGCCTCAGCTTCATGGTGAGTTCAAGGCCACTGAACTACTTAGTGAGACCCTGTAGAAAGGGAGAGAGAGAGAGGAGAAATATAAGAAGGAGTTGACCGACCACTGGCTGCAGGAGACCCAGGAACCGATGTTCCAGCATCTGAGGGAAAAGACCTGTGCTCTGAGCGAGACTCCTAGAGTGGGATCTGCTCAAGAACTCAAAGGGACGGCACCGCTGGCCAGGATCACGGGGAGCGGAGAAGAGCCTGCGCTAATAGCCCCACCGCGAGGCGATCCTGCCTAGTCCTGCCCGCCACCCCACACACTGCCCACCAAGGGCCCTGCTTCCCCCTGGGGCCCGCCCTGGGATAGCGACAGGCTGGGCTGCCTCACCTCTAACCTGTGCGGTGAGGGGCGCTCAAAATCATTTACATTTGGGGTTTCTCAAATAACAAAAAACGTGTGGAGCTGTCCTCCACGTCTGCTCCACTTCCACGGCACTGAGTCCGGATCACACCTCGCTGCCTCCTCACAGCCGAGGAAAGCAAGGCTGAGAGCCACCGCTGGCCGGGGTCACAGGAAGGGTCACGGCCAGGATCACAAGCAAGACTGAGCACCATCGCTGGCTGGGTCACGGCCGGGATCACAGCCGCAGCCCCCAGCCAGGCACCTGTGTCCCGCCCACAGCCAGACGCCTCCTCGCCCTCGCGTTGTAGCTAAGGAAAGGTTCTTCAGCGCTGGCTTTGCTGCATTTACTTGGCCTGTGGGCCTGCGTGACCCCGGCGCCCGAGAGCAGAGTCTCCTCTGCGCCAAGCCGGCTGGCGGGCAGGGCCTGGCCTGTGCACGGTCAGCCCTGCAGCAGGAGAACCATAGCGGCCCTCCTCGCCCGGATACCAGGGATCGAACACGGGTCCTTGTGCTTGCAAGGCAGGCGACTGAACCACTGAGCTACATCCCGGGCCCTGGAAAGAGCTGTCTTTATGCAGCGACCTCACAGGGGTCTACAAAGGGTCCCCTGCGGAGCTGTGCGTTTCTCTGCAGTACTCGAGGAGGCTGGACACCATGTCCACAGGCTGAAAACTGAGAAATCGGGTCTCTTTTTTAAAGGCTAATTTCCACTTTAGGCCGTTTGATTTTGACATTTTCTGCATTCCCATCACGTTGCCAACGCTCAGATAGGTGACATCTGACACATCCAGACGCAGTCACTCTGCATCGCACACCTGAGCCCCCAACAGGTGGGGACTAGCCGTGACAGTCCAGCAGACTCCGATTGTCCCAGAGGGAAGGGGACCGCACGCGGTGCAGGCTGGGCGTCTGAAAGTGCTGCCCAAGTGTTCAGATCCTCTGCACTCTAGGACGAGATTCACAGGGAAGCTGAGCTTTGGACGTACTTTGAAAACATGTGACAGGTCTGTGGCTTGCTTTATGCATATTTAATTTTTTTTCCCAGATCAGTAACAAATCCTACTCACTTATGAAAAGTCCTAGGAGACATGTGACCTTCCACAGGGAAATACTTTCGCACACCATCGTAAGAGTCGCTGCTGGCCTGTGGGGGTGAAGGGGCGACAGAGGAGGCTGGGAGGCGGGGTCCTGGGCTCCACCCACTCTAAAGGAAATAATAAACTGCGCGTGGTGGTGCCCACCTGGGATCCCAGTACTCAGGAGGACCAGGCAAAAGGATCGCTGTGAGCTCAAGGCCTGCCTGAACTACCTAGTGAGATCCTGTCTCAAAAAAAAAAAAAAAGAAGAAAAGAAAGAAAAAAGGAAAAGTAAACGGCATAGAAAACACCAGGTCCAGCACTGCCGCACGCAGGGGGCCAGGTGAACTGCAGTTCTTACAGAGTGCACAGAGCGGAAATGTGGCATCAACTCACTGCCACAGCAAGTTTTTCATTTTCTTTCTTTCAACTTCTCTTTCAGCATTGTCCAGGGAAGTCCTCAGGTAAAATTCAAAGCTTTCAACGTCTATAAAATATGGAGAAAAATATAGATTCCTGCCAAAACATGCTACATCCCAAAGCCAACTAGCAGCAACTGAAAGTGGGTTTTGTGATGCTGGGGATGGGACCCAGGGCCTTTGCACTGAGCTTCATGCCCAGGCTGCCTTTTAAAACAATTTTTTAAATTTTGAGACTGGGTCTCACTCAATCCCTAAATATCCAGACTGGGTTTAAATCTGCAATCCTCCCGCCTCAGCCCCCCAAATGCTGGGACCACAGGGTTGAAGGGTGTATTTATGAACTAACTACACTGTTGCTCCTCCGGTGACATCAGAGTGGCTACCGAGGATGTGACTAGGGTGAGCCTTCCACACATACTGCCACTGCAGGTCTCCTGGAAGGGACCTACCGGGTCACGGCGACAGAACCAAAACACATGCTAAAGACAACATTTGTGGCATGATAACTTGCTTGTGGCCTAAGCATCTGGACCTCACCAGGCTGAAAACAAACACAGCACAACATCCAGGGCTCGGTGTGGCTGGCTGCTGCCCTGGCCAAGGGAAGCATGGCTATTTGACATCCCACTTTTACGGAGTGTCCTGTGTCACTCCCAGGACAGGCGGTCTCTGCACTGTGCTGGACCCTAAGCCACACTACTTCCTTAGAGTTGAAGAGGTCCACTTTTTGCTCCCCAGCGCCACCGTCCAGCCTCTGGTGCAGTCTGGTGTAGACTTGCTCTGTGAACCAGCCCTACGCTGAATCCAGACTTCCCTGTAAATCAAGTACCCTGGGAGGCTAAGGCAGGAGGATTATAAATTTGTGCCCAGCCTGGGCCACTTAGCAAGACCGTGTCTCAAAATGAAAAAACAGAAAAGGAGCTGGGGCTGTAACTCAGTGCGGAGGCCCTAGGTTCCATCCCAACACTACACACACATCCTGACAGTGGATTCTCACAGGAAAGCACTTGAGATGACATCGCAATTCACAAGTTACACCGCAATGTCCTTACACTCGGTACCTCTGGCGTTTGAAATTTGGGTGCACAGGATCATGATTTAAGTCTTGACACTGGACAGCAATCTCTGAGCTGTGTGTCTTCATGTGCGGGTCTCTTTCCTTGCGCTGGGAACCATGTGAGGTCCAGGACCCAGTCCTGAACTTGGGATTCACCACAGCAAGAACATCACCTGGTACAACTGAGGCTCTCTATAAACACTGGTAAAATTCAATTTATTACTTAAGTAAGCTGTTGGTGCTATACTTCAGATCATATATTTCATGAATTATGTACATGATACCAAAGAAATTTACTGCCAACCAGAAGGAGTCACTGGAGCTTTGAAGACCACCCAGACCTGAGAACTACGGTTGGAGGGTCGAATCCTGTCCACTGCCACTCCTGTAAAATTTTATCGGCACACAGCCACACCTTGTGTATAGCCGTTCCTGTGCTTACCACAGAGCAGAAGCTGCGTCAGAGGTGGTGGGATCCATAAAACCTAAACATTAACTACTGGTCTTTTTCCTTTAAAGTTTGCTAACGCCAAGCCAGTGGCTACAAAGAGACACCGAGGCCGGGGGAAGAAGGGCCTGCTGGGGCTCAGTGCTGGACAGGTGACTGTACAGAGGGACAGCACTGTCCAAACCAGACTGCTCTTCACTGTCTGGGAACAACACAGGTGGCACCAGATACCTGCCAGGGTCCCGGGAAGAGAGGACCACACGTGGGAAGAATCAAGGGAGAACCTGGCGGTCTAGGCAGCGTGGGGTACCGGGGGATCTGTGGCCCCAGACCCATGGCGTTGACACCAGCAGGTGGTGTCTGTGGCTGTGTGCAAGTGCCTTTCCATGCTCTCAGGCTGTCCCTTCCCCTGTGGTCGTCGGCAAACACGGCTGAACCGGCAAAACGGCCTCTTTTGATCGAGGGCCAGTGTGGTGGGCAGCAGGGGCAGTTACAGTCCTCCCAGCTGCTTTCCGTGCGGAAGAGTCAGCTCTAGGCCCTTCCCTCAACACGTGTCCTGAACGGGACAGCAGAGCCTCCAAAACTCCCTCACGAGGTTTACGGACTCCGTAATACTCGGGCTGTACAGGTTGCTAAGTTGTGCACGACTTCTGTTCAGCAGAAACCCAGGTGAACCTTGCCCGAGTCTGCTCCTACCCCGTCCAGCTCTGCACACCCACTTTCCTTCTTCCAACTATCAGGGAGCCAGCCTTGGGCCTTCTCCTTCCACTCTATGGTCCTGCTGGTCTCCGCACTCATGAGTGAGATAATTCCTTGGTTCTCTATTTGTATGAAGTTTGTATTTTGAATGTCGCATAGAAGCTCCTTCCTCCAAAATTCTCCACTGACCTCCCTGCCTCCAAGGGTCCACTTTACTGTCCGTGTCTCGCCGTGTATTGGATGCATCTAGCTTTCATTTCTCTGCTGGCGGAGTAGACAAAAGTCTGAAGAAAGAAAGAAAAAAAGGAAAAGGAAAGAAAGAGAGAAGGGA